GCAGCGGGAGCTCGTGTCAAATTTCAGACTGGGCCTCGTCATTTTCATGATTGCCCCGTCGGGCCAACCCGAGTCCCCCGAACCCGAGTCTTACGTCTCCTTGAACCGAGGGGAGAGGATCCCAATCTCGGTGAGGGCGGTCCTTCTCGGGCTTCCTGGGCGGCCGAGGTATGGCCACCAGCACCGAAGTCCAGGAACATCCTCCCCCCAGGGGACGTGCCCGCCTGGTTTGGGGCTGGTGCTCAGTTCTCCGCGCCTCCACAAGGGAGGGGCCGAGGTCGTCCCCTTCCTCGTCGCGGTCGTCCCCTTCCTCGTCCTCCTCCTTCTTCTACCAAAATAGTCCGCTGGAAAAAAGGGGGGGGGGGGCCGAGGAGCTCGAGGTCTCCCTGGCCGCCCGAGCAGGGCCTCCGAGCGGAGGGGGTCGGAGCACCGCGCGGCACGGCCGAGGCATCGCCGAGGCGACTCTGTGTGGAGCCCGGTCTGCTTCAGGAGGGAACAAAAACACACAGACACAACTCATCGTCGATCCCCCAGAAGATATGGGAAAATATGGGAAGTGGGGGAAAGACAGAAACCCAGAAGATATGGGAAAATATGGGAAGTGGGGGGAAGGCAGCAACCCAGAACATCGGGGAAGAGATGGGGAATCATTTTCTGTGTGTGTGTGTGTTTATTTGTGTCCTGGGGCCCCTTCCCTTCTCCGCGCCGAGGCATCGCAGATGCATCGCTCGCCGATGCATCGGGCGGTGCAACGACGCGGTGCGATCCTGCGGCCTCATATGAGCTCCGACTCCATCCGGCAGGCCTCCAGAGAGCTGCAGGGCTCCCGGGCGTGCGACGCCTCGGAAACATCGAAGACTGCGCTCTTGTTCTTGGCGTAAATCGGGCACGTCCCTCTACAGGAGGATGATTCAAAGATAGTCAAGAAATAGTCGGGGGACGATGTTTTGATTATTTTTGGGCATTGTAGGAACATGTTTTGAATATTTTCAAGTTTTCGCTCACAATCCCCCTGCAAGGGGGACAGGCCCGAGCTAATTCTTGTCTTCGTCCCCTGTGGGCCGGGTTCAGTCTTTCGGGCTCCGGGGCCGCAAACAAAAAGGTTATATTCCGATGCTCCGACGATGCGATGCGGCCGGAGGCGCCTGCATGGCGCGTTGCGGCGTCTTGTCGCGGCCGATCCGCTCGACGAGCCCGACTCCGTGCCGATGCAGCTTGATCCGAAACAGGTTTCTATCCGGTCCGGCTTCCCGATTCGATGCTGATTGTTCTTGACATCATGCCAGGGCCATATTGGGCGTAGCATAGTGTATATACACCATCTGGGCGATGTCCTTGATACACTGGCGCCACTTGCGCCAGAGAAATCCGCTACGTATGCTGATCGCGCCAACCCCCCTTGTATTACACCCCCTTCGTCCGACCCGATTTACACCAACATAGTGCTTGCCCAGGTCCATGCTGGGCATTGGCCACTTTCGTTGACCGCGCCCCGCTCGAAAAGCTTCGAAATGGGCGTCCAATGCCATTGCATCCTGATCGCGCCAACCCCCCTTGTAGTATCCCCCTTCGTCTGACCCGAGTTACACCAACCCCATGCCTGCCCCAGTCCATGCTGGCCCTCGCATGATCTGTGCACACCATGCCATGGTGGTGATGGTATGCAGGTGCCCTGTGCGCGCGCGCGCAACTCAGAGGTGTAGGACTCCAGGTGCCCAATGTGGTGGCGCCCACCACCCCAGTTGGTACGGAGAGCACCGTCACTCGCGCGGATTGTTATGAGGCCCCAAACGGCGCTCTCAATGACCTTTCAGCTTTGAGGCGGGACGGGGGAGCGCAGGAGTACGGAACGGTTTCCTTTGTGCCAGAAGTGTTGCTAAGCAAGTCTGAGTTGAGCAGAGATTTGCAATAGTGGTCAGTATGCTTCCAGTGGTTTCCCGAATGATATGCTGGCGTCCTCGGGGTGCACTGCAGGCCCCTCGACTTGCAATTCCGGTCCAGCTAGCTGGGCTGCCGCACGAGAATAATCCAGATGGGGTTTCCGAGAGACTTCCCAGAGCCCCCACAGGAGCCTTTGAGGGTCTTTTCAAGACTTCCAGCGTTCCCGCATCACCCCCGAGGCTTTAAAGCAGTCGCTTGGCCGCGCGTCCCTGCAGTTCCCAAACGGCCTCCGAGAATAGCGACCTCGCGAGTGGCTCAGTGGCCTCCCATGGTTTTCCATGAGCTTCGGTCACGCTCCACAGATGTTCTTGAAACTTCCGTCATTGGCCATCCATTGCGACATCTCCTCTTCCTCGTGCTTGCGCACGTCTCTTCGTGACTTCCGTACCCACTTTGGGCTCAAGCTTCATTGCCTGCTCTGTTACGCAACCTTGTTTTGGAACGCGCCCGTCAGCCCTGCGCGGTGACGGCGCAAGCTTATCACCATGCACACGCAGCAGAAAATATTGTTGCCGCTCCCTATGTACGTGTACTCGGCGGGCGTCGACAGCGCCCCACCTGCCCAGCAGCTGAGCCCGAGGTACGTGCCCTTGCCCGGGACAAGGTCCCACAAGGCATCAGACAGCACCTCGACCCCGAGCTCTCCAGACGCGCCGCCCGCTGACGAGGCCAGGGCCTACCTCGTGGACGGCAGCTGGGCAGCCTTCCAGGGACCTGAATCGCTGCAGGCTTGTTATGCGATCGCCGACTTTTTGGAGCTCCCGTCGCCGGCGCCCGATGAGACGGCGGCGTCGTTCGGCGATGTCGGTGTCCCCGAGGAGCTCGCCGTCCAGGGCTCCGCTGGAACCGTGCCCAGTGTGGGCCAATGCGTGCGCTGGTGGGCCCAGGGCAAGTCGCAGAGGCTGTGCCCACTCACCGGATTCCCCATCGGGCAGCTACCGTACCCGCCCTTCAAGATGCAGATCGGGCACGGCAGCGCGGCCACCCGCGTGCTCGTCGACGGCAAGGCCCTCGCGTTGCAGCTCGTCGCCGAGGGCCACGCCGCGGTCAACGGCCACACGCTAGAGGCCCCGGACATCGCCGCGCTCGACGACTACCTCCGGCAGTGCAAGCTCGGGCCCTTCCGCCCGAACAAGGCCCAGTCGCTGGCGCGTGCGGTGCCCGTGGCACGAACCAACCGTCGCAGGTCTGCGCAGACTTCTCGGGGCGGGCGGCGCTGGCCCCCGTCCCCCCCGCTCCCTTTCCCGCGCAGGGAGCGCGAGCATCGGCGGCGCCAGCGGCGCCGCCGGGGGTGCGTGGTGATGGGGTCGGAGGATCGCGCCGCATCGCCGATGCATCGGCGATGCGGCGCGATGTGCAGCCCGGTGTTCTTCGCGCCCACGGCGCCGACGCATCGCCAATGCGTCGGGCGACGCGGCGCGGTGCACCGACCCCGTCTGCTCGGACCCCATTTGGGAGGCATCCATGCTTGGGCCGAGGCCTGCAGCATGTGTTGCTTGGGCGGAGGACACGCGCAGGCAGATGCGTGGCATGCCACAGCCACTTGGCCCCGTGTGCATGCCACAGCCACTTGGCCCCTTGTGCTGTGCCGCTGGCATCGACGCAAGTACATTCGACCCGCATAGCAAGGACGGGCAACCTTCCCAAGGGTACCCCCTTGCATCCTTGCCTCCTCGGCCCGTCCTTGGCCTCGTTTCTTGTGGCCGCGCCCCGCCCTAGAAGCCTCGAGGTGGGTGCCCAAGGCCCTTGCAACCTTGTCGCGCATCTTTATTGTACGGGCCGACTGTATGTTAAGGGGTGGCGAGGGGTGTGGATTTGGTCCAGGAGGGGTGACGTCGACGCCCGAGTGTCAGCTCGTGGCCGCTCGGGTCCTGGGTGCCCCACCGTGCCCTGGGAACGATGTGTGTGTCGCCGGGTGCCCGTCGCGAGTCTGTCGGCGATGTACCGCCGGTCCCAGAGGAGCGACGCACGAGAACGGGGTCGTGCGACTAGGCGCCCTCGTCTGCAGTGTGGCGTGCCGCGCTGGTGGCTCGCGTAGGCCGCGGCGTGAGCTCGCCATGCTGTCGCGCGCAAGACCCGCTTCTGGTCGTCGCTCAGACGATCTGTCTCCCCTCGGGAGCCCGCCCGGCCCCCCCCTGCTCGGCTCGCCTCGCGTGGGGCGCTCCAGCACGGCCCTCTCGCCCTCGCCCTCGGCGGAGGTCGGCGGAGGTGGCACGGCGGCGGGCCCGCCAGCGCAAAGCCCACGGGGGTGCTCGGCGGAGGCGGCGGGTGTCAAAGCGCGACGCCAGCATTTCCAGATCCAGGGTTTGCCGCCGGCGGGACTGCTGCTGTTCTACGCGCTCTTGCTTCGAAGAAGAAGAGGAAGAAGAGAAAGAAGAAGAAGAAGAAGAAGAAGAAGAAAAAGAAGAAGAAGAAGAATAACACACAAAAAAACGCCATAAACATAAAACTGTTGGCGCTCCGCGCGTATTTCGTGTATCCGCGCTGGGCCCCCCACCCGGCGGCGCCTCCGGCGCCGCCCCTGGCGCGCTCCGCGCGCCAGGGAGGGGGGCTCCAGCGCAGATCCAAGAAGTCCGCGCGCAGCGCCAGAAGTTTATGTCTAGCGCCCTTGCGGGCTTCCGCCGAGACGCGGCAGGAGGCAGGACCCCCTCCTGTCGCAGGCGACTTCTCGCCTCCAGCCCCCGACTCCCACGACAGATCAGGCAGCTCTTCACAGGGGGGGTGGGGGGGGGAACGCGGGGACACACCCCCAGTGGGCCAATTGTCCGGACGCACCCTTTGTCGAGGCTGGACGCTCCCCCTTGTCGTGTGTCCCCGAGTTCCTGGCCCAGTCGAAAGCCCAGCGCCAAGTCGAGGACAGGGGTCGACGCAGCCCACGCGATCCTGGAGCGCGCCGCGTGCCCGTGCCGGGCCACTTCCTCTGCCCCCTCCCAGGTGGCGAGGGCGGGCTCCGCGGCCGAGCGGGCGCGCGCCCGCGCCGAGCTCGAGCGCTTCCGCGGCGCGGCGCGCGAGGCGCTGCGGCGGCTGCGCCGGATCCAGCAGAGTCGGATAGCGTCGGGGACGCGCCGACCAGGGCCACCTCAGATACGCCCACTGAGATCCTTCAGCTCAGCGATCTGGCCCCTGAGTGTCTCCATGGCGACCGGGGAGGCAAGGATTACTGAACTGATGGATTTCGGTATGCCAGGACGTTGAAACCCATCAGTTCAGTAATCCTCGCCTCCCCGGTCGCCATGGAGACGCTCAGGGGCCAGATCGCTGAACTGAAGGATCTCAGGGTGCGTATCAGAGGCGACGATAGGGGCGAATAGCCCATGAGGGAGCAATACTTAAATGTATTCAGGTGCGCCGAGGATCTACGTATGTCTTCGAAGAGGCCCCCGGGCGAATGCGTGTAGTGCCCGCCCCTGGGCTCTTCGCCCCTCATCGTCGCCGCCGGTCATCGCTAATCTGTGGCGGAGTCCGGACACTGCCCTCGCCGATCAAGGATTCAGGCAAGTGCAAGTCGATGGGCGGCGGGGGGTAGGGTGCGGAATTCGTCGAACACGTGTCGAAACCCGAACCCTACTCCCGCCCCCATCGACTCCGGAGAAGCAGTGGTCAGTGGGGCAGGGTTTCAAAGTCGCCACCTACCAGGGTCATCGCTCACCCACACGGGCCAGGACCGTGCGTCTCGCCACGGAGCCAGCGGGCCCTGCGGGGATGGGGGCTGCGTTTCTGGCCGCTTTCGGGGCCCCGGGGCCCTGGGGGCCCCAGGACTGTCAGGCACAGTTCCGGGGGAGAAGGGGGAGGAGGAGGAGGAGGAGGAGGAGGAGGAGGAGGAGGAGGAGGGGGAGGAGGAGGAGGAGGAGGAGGGAGGAGGAGGAGGAGGAGGAGGAGGAGGAGGAGGAGGAGGAGGAGGAAAGAGGAGGAGGAGGAGGGCCCCCCCAGAGGTCCAAGGCCCGCCTGCTTCAGAACCCACTTTTCTCGTGGGCGGCGTCCCAGGCCCGGGCTCGGCCAGGGAGTAGGTCCTCGGCTCCACGTGGCTCTCGATCCAGGTCGGCCAGGGGGGGTCCCAGCTAATGTCAAGTCGGCCCTGTCCCCCTACCAGGGGGATTTTCGACGAAGAGTGAAGAATACCCCAAGAATGGTCAAACAAATTGTCCAGACATAGTCTGGGGACTATGTTTTGCGTATCTTTTGACCTTTTTGGGGCTTTTTTGGGGTATTCTTATTTTTCGTCGAAAATCCCCCTGTAGCGGGACACGCCCGACTGAAAGCTAATGGGTTGACCCCCGCAGGGTCCATTTGGATCCGATTGGTTCGGTTCTCGACTACGATTCTAGCCAGTCGGATCCGATTCGATTCCGAGATGCCGACGATCCGTCGGCCCGATGCCTTCGTTGCGCGGTTGTGCGCTTTGGTGCAGCCCATCTGGTTCGATCTCGATTTCGTGCCAATGCGACCCGAGCCGACGCGCGTGCCGACTCGATCCGATTCTCCGATGTCCAAGGCTATGGCTTTTTCCCCAGTAAGCATTTGCCTTAGTTTATTTTAAAGGCTACCGCCTCTGCCGCCGACCCCATAAACATGTGACGTCGGCTGCAGCGCTGGTTTGTTTCTTCTGGTTTGAGCGGTAATTGCATGACTGCATGCCTGATGGCTGTTTGGTTGAAGCGCTGGTTTGTCGATGGCTGGCTGTCCGAAGAGCTGGATTGCCGATGGTTAGGCTTTTGTCTGATGGTCAACAGTTTGTCGGCTGATGGCCCAGAGTTGCGGATCTCCGAAGCCTCGATTGTCACACGCTTGTGCAGTCGGTGGATGTACCCATTGGTTCAAGCGCTGGGTGGTCGATGGTTGACTGGTTGCGGCTGATTGGGTGATGGCTGTGGCCCAACGAATGTGTGGTTGGTTCGTTGTGGGCTGGCTGGCAGAATGCTGGTTCGCTGATGGCTGATGGATTCCCCTGCACTCTACCATGCCTCCGGGGTCGGATGTTAGTACGCAGCGTGGTGTTTGTTCCCAGCGACGCTGTCTTAGCTGCTGCGTACCCCCCTCTCCTCTTCCCCCTCCTCCTCCTCCTCCTCCTCCTCCTCCTCCTCCTCCTCCTTTTCCTCATCTTCCTCCTCCCTCCGCGGTCTCCTTCCCTTTCCGGCCAGAATCGACCCAGAATCTGTGCCCGGACCCTTCTTGGGGTCCGTCCAGAGTAATGTTTCGTTCTTGGGCCGATTTTTGTGTGATGCTGATGATGATGATGATGATGATGATGATGATGATGATGATGATGATGATGATGATGATGATGATGATGATGATGATGATGATGATGATGATGATGATGATGATGATGATGATGATGATGAGAGTGCGTGCACAGTAATGACGACACGGGGGCCGTACTGTGACACGAGTAGGGGGAAGGCAGCAGGAGCGTCGCGTGCCTCGCCCGTCCCGTGCTCATAGCCTTCTGTTGTTCAGGGGTCGCCAGCGCCGCCCTCCGCCGCCGCGCCTGCCCGTGCATTCCCAAGTGGCTCGTGGACGCTGTGCTGGAGGCTGCGCGGGGGATACTGCATTACGGCGGGCACCGCGAGCCTAGTGTGGGCTGAGCAGACCGCGCAGTCGGCGCCCGACCGCAGCAAGTGGTGGATCGTCACGGTCGGGAGCCTCTTCGGACGGGCAACGAGCTGCCGCGCTGTGGCTCTGTTCGGTTCGGGGCTTCGTCGGGCAGTGCATGGCCGATTCGAAGCCGATCGCACCAGGGCGCCTGATTCTGGTGTGGTACGGTGGCGGGGAGGCGTACTGGCACGAGCGCCTCCTGCTCTGCAAAGTGCGGGAGACGACGTGGATCATCGTCACTCCTGATGGTGATGTCTATCCAGAGGACATTCGGGCTCTCGGTGGCAGGCCGTGTCTGCAAGGGTCTGTGCCGCCGGCCATCCCGGCCGACGCCATGCTGTACAGATTCCCGCCATTCGGCCAGCTGCACACGGCGGCGGAGTGGCGGCAGATCTTCGACGACGGGATCGCGGCCGCCCAGCTGGAGAGGGCTGGGCTGGGCATCGACGACGACGCGGCTGATGCTGAATCTGGTGCTGTGCGTGATCGGGTTGGTCAGCATGGCTGGACCGCCGACACGGGCCTGCCGGCTGGACCTCCGCCCGCCGCCGCCGGCGCTGGGGCCGGGGTACTGGTGGCGGACGTGGGCGCGGCCCCCGTGGCCGGCGGCCTGGCCGCGCCGCCTGCTGGGCCGCTCGCCGCCGTGGGTGGAGGCGCTGCCATCCCGGGGGCTGGAGCTGCCGTGGGGGCCGTGGTGGCGCCCGGAGGTGGCCTCGCCCCTGGCATGCAGTGGATCGTGGTGGCCAACGACGGCCACCCGGGGGCGCCCTCCATCGGGACCGACTGGAGCGTGGACGCCAATGCCGTCGTCATGGGCAAGTTCGCGCTGGTCAAGCTCGGATCTGCCACCCTCGTGCTGGAGAGCATCGCGGTCGGCAGCAAGAAGCACGTGCTGGTCTCGAGGAAGGGCGAAGTCGAGCAGGCGGTGGTCCGAGCTTCGGGAGCAGGCCTGCCAGGAGCTGGCCTCGGACCTCAGGCGATGGGAGACGGGACGGCGGCTGCAGCGCCGCTCAGGTCTTCTGACGCACGGGTGCTGCCGGTGCTGTACGATCAGATGGGCAAGAGGTTCAGGGCCTACTCGAACGCCGTCGGGCTGCTGGAGGAGCCGCGATTCGACGACTTCCCTGTGGCCGGCCCGAGGACGACGCTCTGGCTGTGCCGGTTCATCAGAGACCAGGGGAGCGTGCCTCGCACCAGGACCGAGAAGTGGATGCGGGACGCCCATGTGCCGGACAACGACAGGGTCAGGCACGAGCATGGCAGTCTCATGGAGATTCTTGAGACTGCGCTCACGTATGATCAACTGGACGTGTCTGCCCTCGCCTCCTTCGAGATCCTGTCGAGAAGGGTTCAGCTGTTGGAGGAGGCTTACACGTCAAATCCGAAGGCGCCGCGGTTCGATGGAAGCGAGCACTTCCAAGGCCTCGGCAGGAAGGTCGCGGCCGTGGCGCCGCAGCTCATGCACCTCGCACGTGGCGTTGCAGCTCCAGGGCGAGGCTGCGATCCAGAAGGAACGACGCAAGGCCCGCGAGGAGGCGGCCCTTGCGAAGAAGAGCTAGCCGCCCCGCGGTGTTTCGATTTTCGTGGTCCTACTCGGGCCGCCGCCGAGTCGCTGTCCTCTGCGAGGGCTGCGGCGAGTTTTTGACCAAGGCATGGCAGACGGTCGGCAGCGTGCCCTTCTACCCTTGCCTCGACATCATGACTGGGAAGGCCCTCGTTGCTCACTCAGTCGTGGAGTTCAGCAACGTATTTGTCGCCGTGCTTGGATCGACAGGCGCGCCGACGAGGTTATTTGGGGTCTCAACGAGCTCGGGGGCGTTGGTGACAAGTCGCCCAGCGGTCCAGGTGGTGAGCAGGCGCGCGCTGCTGCTGCCTTGGCCCGGGAAGCGGCTGAAGCTGTGCCCTTGCCCAAGGAGAGACCCGCCCCGCAAGAAGCCCTGGCGGCGCTTCTGCGTACAGACACCCGCTATGGTGACAGCGAGTGTGCCGGGAACATTGCACCGTTTGGCTCGGCTTCAGTATCTCTGCCGAGCCGCGACCTGCGCGGGGTGGACATCTACAACGTCCTGCCCTCGGACGCGTCGCACAAGCTCAAGCGGTTTAGCGACGCCATCCTTCTCAGTGACGAGGAGTATGCATTGCGCATCAAGAGCGAGGGACTACCCAACCTTTACTTCGACCCAGTGCTGGAGGCACAGCCTGCGAAGTGGGGGTTTTTTTGTCGGGATCTGCGTGACAGGGGACTGGTACGCTGGACTCGAACCTACAAAGAAAAGGTGGGTTTGTTCTTTGTTCGCAAAAAGAGTGGTGAATTACGACTTATATGCGATGCACGAAGGACCAACATACGATTTGACATCCCAGACTCAATACAGCTTGCTACTGGCGACTCGCTCAGCCGTCCTGAGTGCGCCTCTGACCAGGCCATCTTCTCGGCCAGCTTCGACATCAAGGATTACTTCCA